TGGACAGTCTGATTTTCAATATGTTGTTCGCACCCACACAGGCGCCTTTTGGGGTTTTTCCGGTTTTCCTGTGTTTTCAGCGGTTGTTCGAGTTTTTCTCTTTGACACCGGTTTTCCGGCAGCATGACTGCTTTAACGCCACCATTGCTCCCCCAATTGACTGTCTTGCACCTGTTTTTACATTTTCAGCTTGCTCAAATCAACAACCGGTGATCCACGCCCACGATCCAGTGATACTTCGCTCAGCCACCATGGACGCGCAGTGGCAGCAATACTACTGGAATCATTATTTGATGCAGCAACACCATCAGCAGCTCACCAACCCAGATACCACAACTTCTCCTCCCACCACCGCCCACCACACCTACAGCCCCACAGGCACCTACGGCCCACTCACTCACGCACTTCGCACACACCACGTCCACCACTCCAACCCTTATGTGACTCCACCGTACACACCGCCATCGCAGCACACACCCCCACCCCAGGCACCCAACTCCCAGCCAGAGTTTCCACCTCCGCCGCCGCTACCCCTGCCCACGGCCGAACCTGTCACTCCACCACCATCGACCTTCAAACACAGCCCCCCGCCACCACCTACCACACGTGGCACCACAGCGCCCGCCCCACCGCCCCCACACATCCCATCTCCCACACCACCTGTTCCCGACTCCTGGAACCCCACCGAGCAACATTGGGACTCCAACACCCTGCACGGCCACCAACTACATCGTACAATTCAACCCACCCAGTGGTCTCGCAAAGCAGGAGTGGCCGGCCTCCCCACCTTTGAGGTCTTCCCGTGGCAATTGGCCTACCACGGTACCTCCGAGTTCACCGCCCGTACACTGAGCAACGGCAAATTTACAGGTTTCATTGCCACCAGAAGCATAGCGGAGTCGGTCTTCATGACCCTTTTTCTCCAACAACTCCGCGAGCACCGCCTTGACCTTGACGGCATAGCGGAGGCTCTCCACACACGAACTGGCTCGTGCACGTCAGAAACTCCAGGACCTGGGCAACCCACTCACACCAGTCAAGAACACCAGCCGATCTTCCGCACCAGCCGCCCCTTCTCACGCACCCACGCCACCACCACCGAAACCACCAGCCATCACCGACGTCTTGCAACCACCACACCCCACTCTGCAAGACGACATCCCCGAAGGCTGGAACTACCCAGAGATCCAACAATGGGTCACTACCTTCGACCCCACCATCCAAGAAGCTGCGACGGAAGTCATCCGACTGCTGCAAACAAGCAAGGTCACCACGCAGCAGCTAAAAGAAGCAGCCACCAAATATGGCCTACCCCTCAACCGAGTCAATCGACTCCCCATTCGCAGCCTACAACAGCTGGTGGGAGTCGGAGCAGCCATTGGTTGCTGACTCGCCATCGTGGCCCAGCAGCAACCCAGCCACACCAACCTCACCCAACTCTTCCACCTGCACCGCACACTTTCCATGCTCATCCACCGCACCCAATACATTGACCGCGCCGAGGCCATCTTTGCAACCGGCCTCATCCATATCACACTACTTTTCGCATACCCCTCCAACACCCGTCGCTCACAACAATGGCGCAACCGCCTCCGCCAGCTCCACATTTTACCACACACCTACCACTACCACAACTTCCTCTCTTCCAATTCCGTCTACATCAAGCTCCACTTCAATCCGGACCAACCCCAACGCTGCTACCATCAACACGGCCACTTCTACGTTGGCTCCACAGCTATCGGCATCCCCCACCGCGAACACAATCGCCGCGCCAAACTCAAACAACTTCAAAACAACATTCCCATTTCTGCAGAACTCTCCTTACGTTATTGGCATTCCCACAACAACATCCACCACTACACCACTATCCAACTCACCTCCCATGACACATACGACCAAGCCTGGATCCAAGAGCACCACTACATCGCCAACTGGATGCCTTCACTCAACTGGCCTTTCATTTCCCACCACCTCAAACTCAAAGCTCAGGGATGGCAGTTTGCGAAACACAGAGCCCACTTCTACTCCAGACTAGCCACCCACAAACGACTTTTCCGACGCCTTCGACAACGCCAGTACACCCTCAGAGAACCACACCTTTACACTTCCACGAAGCATCACGCCCTCCAACTCCTTCGCAACCTCACCAAACACACCGCAGCCTCTTTTGAGGCAGCAAAGCAGCTAAGAAGCGGCCGCCACACAGACCTCGAGGTGTATGCAATACGGCGTATGGCCGCGAATTTGGAAGAACCTGGCCGCAGCCGAGCTCTTCACATTCTCAACAAAGCCTTGCTCTACCGCAATCTCACGCCACCAAAGCCAAACATCCCATTGACAGTGCCCTTCTTGGCCCATGACGACTTTCCCAAGCACTGCCAACAATGGCTTCGCACCACCATCCAGCAGCACAAGCATTTCACCATACCCCTCCACCTCCCCTCACACAGACTGAGGGAAGCCGCCCACAAAACCCTCCGCTCCCACCTACACAACCACCGCACATGGGAGGACACCCTCCACTCCCCGCCAGATCCCGCAGACCTCCCCTGTGCATGCGATCACCTTCGCACCCTCCTGCAGGATCCGGAGACCCCTACCGTCGACGGCCATTACATCCTCACACTTGATCAACTCCAACTCCCTACACACCTCAGCATTTTCCTCAACGCCAATATGAACAGTACCTATTACCCAAGCAAGGCTCGTTACTTCCTCATTTTCAAGACGGCCTATACCAAATGGCTCAAACTACAGGGGCTTCCACCATCCCTAGTTCAACACCTACAGCCTTTCCTTGAGCACCAATGGCGCCTCCACAACATACACCTCAAACAACAACCCCGCTTTACGGCTCGCCTGCTTCGCCAACTCCAAGAACATTTGGGCAAACACACATTACTCCACCATGCCGATCATGAGCTCCAACAACTCCGGCTGTTTTGCCCTCGCCAATATTTCACTGGCGCCTTGAACACCTGGCAATCCCCCGAACTTTTCGAACCACTTCCCTACCTCACTGCCGCCAACATCCACGACCACCTGGCCGCCACTGTCCCCCCCATCCTGCGCACTCGCTACAAGTGGGGCTTCCGAAAAGACTTCAACATTCCCTACGGGGTTGTCCACCTCAAGGAGAAGAAGCACTGGCAAAAAGGCCGTACAATCATTTCATACTTCCAATCACTCAGTGGCAACCTGCTACGCATCACCAGCCGTGCCCTTGACATTATCCTCCAACACCTCTACCCTCAACATCCAGGCCAAATGTCCATTCCCCAGCTTTGGCACCACTTTCACAGTTACCTCACCCAAACCCCACCAGACATCTCACTACACGCCACCAACGATGACCTGGTCGGCTTTTTCAACTCCGTTCCCCAGCACCGACTCATCGACGCAGTTCATTCCCTCGTCCACCACTGGCAACAACAGCAATCCACACACACCTTAACGGTGGATGTCCAGGCCACAGGCAATCCTTTCCACCACTCACACATTGGCCGACACCATCAGAAACACCCCACCCAACGCACCATCCAGACTTCCGACATTACCACCATCGTGGCTTTTGCCCTCAACACATGCATTTTCCGGGCTTGCAACAATACTTACAAACAAATCCGAGGGGCCGGGATTGGATCCCAGCTCTCTCCAGCCCTATGCAACGTTGCCATCACCCTCATTGAGCATTCCTGGCATCAGATCCACAACAACCTCCTTCAACATACAGACCTCCACTTTACTTACTATCGCTATGTCGACAACCGCTTCATTGTCCACAACGAACATTTCCTTCAACACCCGGCTATCCAAACCCTCATCCACCACAATTTCTTTGGCGACCCTGTGGAACTAGAACCGGTGGAGGACTTTCATCTCCTCGGTTTCAACATCGACCTCCCACAACGCACCATCACCTACATGCAACCTTCTCAACCCTGGAAAATCCGGGATTCCACCACTGCCGGGAGCCAGCGCTTGGCTCTATCAGGCCTCCAATCACGACTTCACACCATTCGAAAATACACATTTCCACCCTCCAGCGCTGACATTGCTGCGGCTGAACTCGTGAACTTATATGTCCAAAAGGGGCATAACTACCACGCCTGCCACCGGTTTTTGAAAAAGCGCCGAATGCGGCGACCTGTGTGTGTCCCACCCTGGACAAAGGGTTTTCCACCACCATTTCTCCACAAGCAGGGGGCAGGAGTGCCATTGCAAGTCTCCTGCCAACGAAGACGCTTGCAATTGGCAGTGAAACCAGACCTGATCCGTCTGGCGTACCTGCTTTCAACACACTGACTCCACTGGTCCACCCTGCCGCTGTTCGTTGTTTTCATGGTCCTTCATGTTACCACCCCCAAACCCACTGCAGCCTTACAGCTGACTTGCAGCCGCGCTGAGTGTCCGATCGTCTTTTAGAGTGCCACTGCAAACAAAGTTAAACCATACTGTTTTCACTGACCTTTGCGCCCTGCGGTTCCTCGCCTTTCTTCCCAACGTGATACTTGCATTAACTGAAAATCCAAGTTCGAAGTGTGTCTGTAACCCTTCGGATCATAGCGGCGTTGCTTCAATTAAAGCAGGAGGCGCCGGAGACCATGCAAGTCTGGCACTAGCAACGACACTCGCACTGGTCTGTGGTATCAACTCAGGATGCCGAGTTGACATACCTGCTCCATTTTGTACATGTTGATGGTCCTCCTCGAGACACCAGGCTGGATAGGTGGAACCGCGTCGGCAGCCATGCATCCCTTTGAAATACGCTTAAATTTTTGGAAACGCTTGAACGTGCACGCTGAAATCTTGAGATTGTTCAATTTGACCTGAAACTTTGTGATCTTGGGGGCTTTCGATGGTTGGACCTCTTTGCGCTATGTACGGACACCCTCTCTCTCTCTCTCTCTCTCGCTCACACTGCCCAAGTCCGCACAGGAGCACCCCGCAGAAAACACAAAGATTGTTCACCGCCGGGGCGTGTCACCAAGCATGATGTCCTCCAGCTGCTTGCATCGTTGCAACACTTTCAGCAACGTTGCTGCACCTTCAGTTCCCTTTCTCTCATCATCAAAGCACCTGTCAACAAAAGGCCGACTGCCGGAGCTAAGTCGCAATAGGTCAAAACCGGCGGACCATGAACAAAAAGGGCTACTGAGTACTGTTGAGGCTCCAGCTCTTGACTTTCAAGATGAAACCTCCGAACCGCAATATGAGCAAGCAAAAGGCGTCGCAGCATACGAACTGCTGGGACCTTCTATGTGAAACAATGCGAGCGGAGTTCAAGGCTTTCCAGCAACACAGGACTTTGTCAGCTTGAAACTGAACGGGGCGCTTCAGAACACGTGACTTGTGCAATTGCTGGGGACCGGTGGTCTTTTGGCAGAAACAGGCATCAGAATCTGCATCTCTCACGCTTAAGTCTTAAGTTCAACCACGAAGGCCGTCATCTTGAGTAGTTGTTTATTCCAAGAGCACACTGGCTGTCATAGGAGTAACAAAATGAACACGCGTGTACACTTCCTCTGTAAGCCCTGCCCACCACCTTCTCTACCAGGCCACGCCGTGAAATCAGCTTTCTTCAGCTGTGTCCAATTGGCCTCGCTCAAACAATTCCAGGCGGTGCTTGGAATCTTCGTGCACCTGCCCAACCCCAACTCCTGCAGATTCTTCACACAGAAATGCACTAGCCCCCAGCGGTCCACGACACTCTCTCACTGCCATTGCCATAACATCAAGCTAACAACAGCACGAGGGCGTCCTTGAGCTTTGGGCACTGAGCCAACACTTGCAGCAATGTTGTTGCACCTCTGGCCCCCTGCTGGGTCTCATCGTGGAAGCACCTATCAGCAAGTGGCCAGCGTTGAGCAAAGCAGCTCCAAGAGAGAAACCGTCCAAACTTTGCATCACACCTTCAAGTCATTATGACCAAACCCTGGGCGACGTGGAAACGAATCGATGCAAGTGCCTTGTGCTTCCCTGCCTACATGTCAAGATTGGACTGCATTCATTCGCTTACTCTCTCGGCTGTGCCCACCCTTTGATCTCCCTTCTCTACCAAGACACTCCCAAAATTCAGCCTTCATCAGCTGCGCCCATTTGGCGTTGCACAGTTCCATCCAGCCGTTGCTGGGTATTGCGCTGCAATAGCGCAACTGCAACTCCTTCACGGTAGCGGCAACGCATTTCATGGATTCCACTGCACCCAGCGGCGCCAAATCACATGTCAAAACCCACGGTTTGCCGTCCTCCAATTGTTCGCATCCAGCCAACAACTTCAGCACAGCAACGCTACCGTCAGCTGCCCTGGCCCGATTGAAGCACCTCCCAGCACATGGCCGTTGTTGGAGTCACCAAGAAATGAACGGGGGTTTCAAGCTCAAGAAATGTTGGGTCTCAACGATGGGAACCAGCATCGTGATTGGACCTCTCCCGCGCCCTATCTGAGATACGCATGAATGAGCACAGCATGGGGAACGCGGGTCATAGAAGGGCTCACAATCTTGTGTTTGCAGGACGTGCGCAACACGACATGACAAAAAAACTTGGCTGTGGTCACAAGTCTTTGGGCGGCTTGGTGGCACGGATCCAACAAAACGCGCTTGAAGTCGTGGCGTCTCATAGGCACAATAGAAATTCGTTAAAGTATATACTCAAAAAAAAAGGATAAACAAGCGGGGAATTTATAGGTGGCCCATGGCGGCAGTGGGGGTGTGGCCAGAAGTTCTCAGGAGCGTGCTGCGGACGCCACTGTGACTGTGCCCGGCATGAGGTAAATCAGTGGAAGCTGCAAAAAATAAACTTGAAAAGCGCGCCGGAGATGTTGCTTCACAGATCTAACTGTTTTTGCGAATGCCGACTTGCGGCGATTGAAACCAACTGGCTTGCAGCCAAAGACCGCCCAAAAGGTAGGAGAAGCTGAGGGCGATCACCCCCTACAATTCGGAGCCTATTTGTATGGAGGCGACGTGTGAGTTCTTGAGAAGTTTTGGTTGTCTGGAATGTGATCTCGAGCGACTACGGGACATAGAGAGGGAGAGAGAGAGAGAGACACGTTTCCTGCGACAGCTATCAGCTATCTCATCCGGGGTCCGACTCAACCTGACAGCGGTTTCTCAGGAGAGGTAAAGGGGTTGGAGTCCTATGAACGTCGCTTTGCAAACTTCTCTCTTGCCAAGGTGGGGCTCTTTCCAAGCAAGCCATCAACATCCAGCAACTGCCAGGCAGTTGGTGTTCACGCGTCGTGCCCGAAACTGTGCTAGACATATCAGCCGGCATAAAACTAGGTCACAAAATCAAAACTCTCTCGCTCTATCTCCCTCGTGCGCACGCAACATAAATACCAAGAGACCCAGTGAAATCAGCCTTCTTCAGCTGCTTCCATTCGGCCACACACAGCTTCATCCAGGCGCGAGAAATCGCATTACAGTCGCCGCACGACAACTCCTGCAGCAATATGCGCAGCAACACGCTGAACCACAAACAACAAAGAACCCCTCGTGGCGATTGAAGGGTGATTGGGAACGATAACTCGGCCTCAAGTTGCACCTTTTTCAATTCATACCTCTTGGGGCATCCACCTTGTTTAAGTGGAGCTTGGGTCAGGGACTTTGTTGGTTGCAGGTTTCCGGGCTCTCCTGTAAGTTTGGGCATCGGGCCAGCGTCTGCAGCAAGATGGTTGCACCTTCAGGTTCCTGCTGATCAAAGAAGTAACTTCTGCTGAAGTCATTGAAGCACCTGTCAGCAAGTCAAAAGTGAAAATGTTGGAACTAAAGTATCCCAGCTTCAGCCAGACTCCCTCCCGAAACGGTGCGAACGGCAAATGTCACGTAAGTCCATTGCAAAAGGTCAGTTCATGGGCGTAGCCACAATCCCTGGTATGGACCCTTCCGCGCTGTCTCGGTGATCCACACCGCATGGACAAAGGCCCTGATCCAAACCCTACGGGTTGCTCACACTCACAAACGACCGGTTTTGAACACCAGTACTGTGTGTTCGCGCCGGGTTCATGTCCGCACGCTTCATACTCTATGAATGCAGTGCTGGTAAGCCTCCCTAGCCCTCAAGAGTACATGGTGAGTTTCCACGGCCTGTTGCATAAACTCACCCAGGAAAGCCACAAACCCGTTGACAGTCAGGTGGCAAGTTAGCGGTCGCCTGCAAACAGTTTTGGGCCCTTGGGGCCTCACGCGGCCCGTCCACCTGGTGGCTCGCCAGTGCACAAGTTCACGCTGCAAAGCCGGGGCGGAGAGTGGAGTCAGTCAGGTGACCGCCAGGTGGCACTGTCAATGCAGCGGTGTCCAGCAATCGTTTTTCTCTGTTCATCAGGAAAAGCCAGGTGGCTTCTGCAAAGTTGAAAAGGTGCACAAGTCGGACGAATAGGCCTCAATGGCCGCGTCTCCAAATGAATTCACCCTAGGCCAAGCTCCCAAGGAAGAACGAAAGTACAAGAGCCTGGCTCAAAAAGTGGGGGCTGGCGGCAGCCTCAAAAACAAAGCACAGTGGGGTCGAGCTACCACAGCGTGAAGGGTAGAACTTCGCAGGGCAACGCTATACCCATCCGCCTGACCAAGCTGCCAGCTAACACTGACAGGACAAGTGTCCTGATCCGGCAGAATGGCGGAAAACAGCACGACGGCAACTGAGCGGGGCTCACTTCACCAAGGTCGACGCCTGCGCAACGACATGACAGAAGCGGAGCCCACATCTACATTTGGCTCAAGACTGAGAAAAGCCGCTTGCTTTCACAGCGCGACTGCATTCCACTCGTGTCCGAGCATCGTCCGATGGGACCTCTCTCGAGACCGTGTTCTTTCCAAGGGAAATCCACTGCATTACACTTCGTGTCACCCCACCCCCCCCACCCCATTTTAATCACACGACTAATCGGTGACAATGTTGTGATCGATGACAATGTTGTGATGCTGAAGTCCCCGATGTCCCGATCATCCCCCCGTCCAGAACCTCAACTGAGTGATCCTGATCCGTACCCTTTGGATCAGGGTGTGGTAAGGTGTGGGTTTTGGTGCTTGATCCATGCCTTAATTTTCGGGCTGTGGCCATATATAGCTCGGGTCCTCACTGGCACACAACTTTGACGAGACCCTTTCCACAATTATAACGAGACCCTTTCCTGCTGCTTATGGTCCTTCTTCACCAAGACACTTTGTGAAATCAACCTTCTCCAGCAGCGTCCATTGCGCGTTGTAGTCGCACAGCTTCTGCCAAGCATCATTGGGAATCTTATAGCAGTCGACCAAGCGCAACTCCTGTGAATAGTTGTCGGCCCGCTTTGCCCCACAGCACTGCAGCAATGCAAGTGGTCAGGAATTGCTCACTGTCAAGTATCAAAAGCTCCAAATTTGGACTCTGGACACACATCACACAATTAGTATACTGGCATTAGTATCCATTGGCTGTTCTCTTAGGAAGAAACTGCACCACGCCACTACAGGAGAGTCCTTCAATTCTGGGCATTGAGCCAAGGCCTGCAGCAACGGGGCCGCGCCTTCAGCATCCTCCACTTTCCGATCAAAACACCTGTCAGCCAGTGGGCCGAACTACGAGCGAGTCATAATTCATAATATGTTGAAATCTTTGCAAGCCTCGGTCATGAAGGCCAAACATTTGGAAAAGCCTTCGGCTCAAAGCAATCTGCTTGCCAACCCATCTGTCTTGGCACCCTATCGCGGCAAAGGAAGCACAATTTCATCCTATCCGTCCCACGTCGAGTTCAAACTCATAGGCATCAACTACTGCATCAACTGTCGGTCATGAACACGTTCATGATACGTTCTTGCCCACGACCATTCAAACATCGTGACCACATCATCAGTCATCGTACCACATGGCCACAAGCATCCCCCCTCACTCTTACACCTACCCAACCTTTGGTCACTCTTCTTCACCAAGAGACCCTGTGAAATCAGCCTTCTGCAGCTGCTTCCATTTGGCATTGTCCAGCTTCATCCAGGCTTTGCCAGGAATCTTATTGCAATGGACCAAGTGCAACTCCTGCATCAAAATGCAGCAAGTAGCCGCGACAAATGCTTGGGCTGTTCGCTGTGACACCGCACTCCACACAAAAATGCGTAGAAGAAAAAGACTAACAAGGAAAAAAGACAAAGAGCAAGTGATTGTACGCTGGTACGCTGGCGGTGGCCGGCTGCGCTGATTGCGCTGGATACGCTGTTTACGCTGGCTACGCTGAATACGCTGGTTACGCTGGTTACGCTGATTACGCTGTTTACGCTGTTTACGCTGCTTACGCTGGTTACGCTGAATACGCTGATAAAAGAACATCCAAATCACACAGGGTGTCCTTCAATTGTGAGCATTGTGCCAACACCTCCAGCAATGCTGCAGCACCTTTGCCTCGCCCCCGATCAAAGCACCTGTCAGAATCTGCGAGCAACAACCACTGATTGAAGAATTGGAATGTCTATACAGACTGGAAGCAAGGTCACTTCAGAACACACTTAAAAAGGTCACTTTGAAGCATACTTTGATGCGCGTCCCGTGAGAAACATGCCCAATTCTTCTTCAACCACCAGCCAATCAATCGACTGGGTGGGGGGGAGGGCACGTCGGGGAGGATGGCACGTCGTGGACCGACTCGCGACCGACTCTTCTTCACCAAGAGACCCTGTGAAATCAGCCTTCTGCAGCTGCTTCCATTTGGCATTGCACAGCTTCATCCAGGCGTCTTGGGGAATCAAACGGCAATCGACCAAGTGCAACTCCTGGGCATTCCGCAGCACAAATCACATCATTGCAAAACGTCACGAGCAGTTCTAGTTTTAATCAAGCATCAAAAAGTTCATCCATTGAGACAGCGTCTATCTAATCCTAAAAGCCTACCTTTAGTATCCTTTAGTGACATAGTGACACGCAAGGGATCTCTCATCCGGACAAGAACTTGATCGACACTGAAATGTCCTCTAGTACGTTTGAGACCGCCAGAACACTCACCAATGCAACCGCCACCTGACGAATGCTTTCACCGCTTTCACCACGGGATGCTGGCCATGTCGATGTCTGCGTCTGAGCAGGCTGTGAAGTACCCCACTGGCAATTGCACATGGCTTGCAGGACATCATTTTGGGAATCAGCTCTTGTCATGGCGGCTGGCGATTCAAGGAGGCTGCCTGCCACAAATTTTGCCAGCTGTGATATTGCATCACAACGTATGGAGACACGGCGCATATGTCGCACTGGAGCGACGATGGCTGCTATGGTCTTGGAAGACTTTGGATCCAAATGTCCGTTCTGCAAATCGGCATCGATGCAGCACACGGCCGCTGCAGCTTCCATGGCAGCTTTCGGCACCTGCAAGACTGCCAAAGGCTTTGGCATCTGAAAATGAACCGGGCATGAAACAGCATAAGCACGCCACCGGGTGGGAAACCGAACGTGTAGTGGTGCTAATTTCGACCATCGCTGTAAATCTCATTTTTTTCGACCCGGTGGCCATGGATGTCGATGTTATGCAGAGACCATGACGATCGGTTTCACAGCATGTTCATCAACCTTACAACATGATGAGTTTCTGATGTGACGACAAAAATTCTACGCGGGGTTTCGGGTGGGGTGGGGTTTAGGGGGGTTGGCTTCGTTCGTGTGATGAGCACGATGGTGATGAGCTGTTGATGTGATGACAGAAGATTCTACGGGGGTTCGCGGGGGTTTGGCGGGGCTGGTTTCATACGTGTGATGAGTGATGAGTGGAAAACGATGGTGATGAGTTGTTGATGTGACGACAGAAAATTCTATACGGGGGGTTGAATGCGCACACTGGTGGAATTGATGCAATGTGGACTCACTTGAAGGAACTTGTCGGCGCAGATAGAGCAGAAGATTCGGTCGTGGCAGTGGCGCTTCATGCACACAGGGCAACAACCTGATCGTTGTGCTGAAGAGCTGTCGAAAGAGCTGTGAGCATGCAGGAAAAGAGAGCGGGAATTTTGCAGCTCAGGTCCTATGGGCTTTATCACTTTTCCGTAAAAACGAACTGCGAACGAGACAAAAAATTGCCTATATATATATATATGTGGCTGCTTGGCACCCGGATCATTTTCGAACCCAGAAACGGATCATTTTGGAACACAGAGGAAAAGAAAACTCTCCGGGACTGCAGTCTGACACCAGTTTCGCGGATCATTTTGGAACACACATCCTTCGGTAGTGCTTCGAAGGCTAGTGAAAATGAGCGTTTCGTACGAGACTTCCTCCAAAAGTGAGCCGCGCTTGTCTCCAGAACGAGCGTTTCGTATGAGACTTCCTCCAAAAGTGAGCCGCGCAAGTCTCCAGAACGAGCGTTTCATACCAGACTTCCTCTCTTTTGGTTTGCCTTAGGGCCTTGCTTCTTTAGGATGTCTTTGGGTTGGACCTAGGCCTTCACTTGTGAGGGACTTAGGGCTTCACTTCTTTAGGGTCTCTGGTTGGTTTGGCTTAGGGCTTTGCAGCGTTAGGATGTCTTTGGGTTTGACTCAGGGCTTCGCTTCTTTAGGGTCTTTTTTGGTTTTGCTTAGGGCTTCACTCCTTTAGGGTTTCTTTGGTGTTGGCTTAGGGCTTCACTTCTTTAGGATGTCTTTGGGTTTGACTCAGGGCTTCACTTCTTTAGGGTCTGTTTTGGTTTTGCTTAG